ATTGTAAGCTGGACGGGGAGCAACATCGAAAAAAGGGACCAGTGAGTGAGCTGCCCGTATACGTAAACATCGATCGGGTGTCGTCGCGCGTCGTCGGGCGCCATCGTGCTCGCGGAGATGTCTCTCGATGCCACAAACAATGTTCGAATGTTTTCGGCTCCAGGCTAACAGGCTGAAACATGTTGCATCTAACGAACGCCTATCGGTTGAGTATAGAGAGGCACATTAGAAATCGAATCACGTAGCAATCAAAAGCGGATATAATTTCAACGATTTATTAAACAATAATAATCGCATTTGTCAATCTATTTCTTAGACTGCAACTTAAACTCGACCACGCGGCGACGTATATATTATTCAATAACGTGCACATAAGCCCGTCTTCTCTCAACTCGCACACCGCGTTCATTAACGTAGGCGCCCACGTAATACGAAAACGTTTTTACAATGTCGACTTTACATCGCCCCGTAAAAACCGGCGAAGCACCGAATGGTAAAGCGTCCATACTTTTAATGTGTCATTAGATTCACTGATACTTCTTTTTATATCGCAGCCTGCGGGTTATTACTCCGGGCTTTTATTGCCCATCCCGATAATAATGATTTTGGAATTATTGCGCAGATACCCTGCGGTAAATTACTTTTCATTCCGAGGGGTCCATTTTCACGAACGGGCACGCGGTCTTCGCGACAATGGAGTCGCGCATTCAAAGAACGGACGACGATTCCTCGAAACGGCGGAAAGGACCACGTATAAATTTTTGCTTTGCCAGGCACCCGCGAAATATAAAATACATTTTTTTTTTAAACGCGGCAACGTTATTTGAACACATCTCACAATGCAGAAGTCCTTTCTCGGAAGGGTATCGCCGCGGCAAACGGATGTCTCCGGTTTATCGGAGAGCGATAGCTGTAAAAGGGCTTTTCGAGTGGAGAGCACGTGACTAACTGCCCGAGCGCGGGCCTCCCGCTGCCGCCGCGCCCCCTTGTGGCGGGTAATGGCGAGTGACAGGGCTAAATTTCGTGCGTGACCCGCACTACCCCTTATTTGTTACCTAATATCTCATACAGACGCGTATCCGTGCGATCGCAGACGTCGAAAACGATCGACTTAGAAGCTAGTCTTTGCACAGACCAATATTTAACAGAAGGTCAAGAACACCATTTAGATATTTTTATTTTTATTATCTTCATGAAGCTAATTCTATAACCATTAAACGAGAAATGTTTGTATTGTACATGCCTTGACGATCTCGCAAGCAGCCCTAACGATCACAATGAAAATTTTTATCTTCCCTATAAAAAATCGATTTTACACAAAAAAGATCTAAACATAAATTTATAGTGCCATATAGTGCGGTTTTGTGATGATTCTATTATTGATGCGCTTGCAGTTACAATTGCATTATATAAAATAAACTAAAGATGATAGTACATAAATAAAATACATACGTTGCTAAATTTTGCAATTAAAAAAAAATGTTAAAAAAAATTTGGTTGCCTGTAAAGTCGGTATACGGGCGAAAGTTTTACGTGACAACGACTTTGAATGGTAAAATCATTTTAATGTGAATATTCATTCGTATAGTAGGAAGAAGGATGAAATAATAGTAACAATTTAAAACATTTATTTATACAAAGAATTATATTTAAAACATTAATTTATACAAAGAATCTCGCACTGAATTTCATATTAACAAAATTTTATTTTTACCTTTACACATACATACGTATTTATATACAAATATACATACAATAACTTGCAATACATTTGCGTCTCTGTCTCTGCTCTTAGGCGGGCTAACTGTGCTCGAGTGGAAGGGACGCGCCTTCACTTTATGTCTGAGCAGGCGGGCTAACTCGCTTCTCCTGACTCATCGTTAGCGTTACCGAGCGTTGCTTTTTCAAAGTGTCACCCGGCAACCTAATTTAAAGACGTTGTCACGTCAAAAATAAAAATCGTCTTCGAAAATCTAATTCAATAATTGATTAAGCAGACTTCAAAAACAACTAATTAGTTGTTTTTTTTTAAATCGGTTCCAGCTAAAGATAAGTCAGACACCGTTCTGTCTCCTTAGAAGGTCTGCTTTTTTTGACTCTCAATATTTAATGTTTCATATGAATGTTTATAGATTATATGTTTTTTTGCCTCGATTAGCTGGAACCGTCTCCAAAAATAACTAGTTCTTTGTTTTTGGTGGTTAATTAAGCAATTATTTAAATAGGTTTTTGAAGACGGTTTTTATTTTTTTATTTTTGTAAAATTTATTTATTTTTCACATTTTTTTTGTTATCGAGTAATTATAACTTTATAATTCAATTTTGCTAATATACATAGGTATTAAGCTATGGTTAATAAAATTGACCAGGCATCATCAGATCCTGACTTGGAGACCATGGGACCATCTCGAGAGTATAACTCTTTCAAACAAAAAAAAAAAAATCGAAATCCGTCCACAAGTAACGAAATTATCGCTAATCATGCATTAAAACAAACATACTCCTCCATTTTTAAAATCGGTTAATGAACATATACAACTTTTTCTGAGCGAAGTCATTTATATTCGGTAAATTCGAAGAATGCTCAGCGAGCTCGGTCGCTCAGGTACTAGAATATAATGTACTACACACAGAAAGCACAATACTAAATAAATAACTAACACGTAATCTTCTCTCACGGTACAGATACTGTGAGCGATCAGAGCCATCTTTTTGTGTTTATAATTTTGCATTTGTGTAAATTTTACAGTTTCCATATTATTTCGGCTATCGTTTATTTAACACCTAAGACGAATTGTTGACAGTAAAGCTTAGTTTTCAAATATATTGTGAACAGATGACCTGCCGCGAACATAATTATCTATATAAAAATTTTTTTGGTTTGAATTATTTTATTTTCATATAATATTAAACAGTTATATTGTAATTACGTAAATAAACACAAGTTTTTGAATTTTGTATATTATTAATAATTTATGTATTAAAATCATGTTAGCGCATTACGAAAGACAATAATTGAAATAGTTCACATTCGTAATGAGCAATGTACTAATAAAATAGCGGTAGTTACAACAAACTACATAAGTAATTTATTTAGACGCATTCACGCACCATATTCATTTTAAAAATTCAGTCCGACGATTTCTCAGATAAATTACCTGCCTCACCAAAAACCAGGGAAGGATGCTGCCCATTCTTGGATACCTTTAGTTTTGATACGATATTTTGAAAGTGGAATGATGAATCAAATCTAGTAAATTATTGTGTATGATCTCAGTAGTTTATCGCGATACGATACATGAGAGGTAAGAATTGTAAAAAATATACTCACACTTGCATTTATTTTCATCTCCTGACATAGTTTTACCACGATGACAGTTATAAGATTAAAAGCCTTCCCCACAGCCTTAATACGGACATGCATCGATTTTGTTATAATCGATTAGCAAAATAAAGACGACGGGACCGTTATATCGTTATGCGACATTATCGGAACGGGTCCGCAAAAAAAAAAAAGTTATTCTATTCCGGGACCGTCCTCACGTACGGGGACTTTATTAAGTGGCTGTCCGCAAAACGATATTTACGGGACACACGCCATCGAACTATCAAAGGCGGGGACGGCGGCCGCTCCTCTGAATAGCGGGTCCGCTACGTATGAGATCACGTATCCGGTTACACGTTAGTTTCCTGCGAACGGATTACATTTAAATTCATATTTGTTTTTGGCGTAGAGAAAATATTTTTCAGCGACTTTACCACAGCGCATAGACGTCCACATATATGATGCATTTGTAATAAATATAAATCCGTTTTGTATGATAGCAATTTTTCATGAAGTATTAATTGACCACAAAATATGTATATCTCTAAACAGCTGTGTGTAACAATTTCGTAGCCGACGCTCGTGTTTAAATTTATTTTCACTATGAAAAATAATTACAGTACCATTCACGTCGTCAGGCAATGATTTGGATACTACTGGGTCGTTTTTTGACTTTTGCAGTGGCAGTCTCGTATAGAAAACAAGGGATAGCCTATGATTGCAGTGCTTAGCGCGGTCGCTTAAAATGTAATAAATGTGAATTCAATATTCAATAGGATTTTTGTAATGCATCTATAATTAAAATTATTGATTATGGTTTGCCTGTAAATAAAGAGATTGCTTTGGCGGTCACGAAATACAGCATTAGATTCAGTTGATAATCAAAGAGGTGGGAACCATAAGGTAATATCTCTATTGTTTTTATTATCCTAGGACCCCTCCAAATACCTGTGTCCTAAAGTCGAACATTGTAAGACTTCATAAATCGGTTTGTTAATTCTTATAATATGCATATACACGTAATAATTGTATATAGTATATTTATCTAGTAATATTTTATTATATGCCAGGAACACAAAAACCATAATTGATATCAAAGAAAATGTAAAAAATACCTAGTTTCAGATCTCTATATGTCATGTTACAGCAACAAAAACACAGGCGCGAATAAAACACACAATTATATCAGGTTTTATTTATCCCACAGCTGAGGCATACCCTCCTATAATCTTTCTCATACGAAGGTTTTTGACGCTGCTTGCGGTATATAGGAATTGATTGGTGGAAAAACAATATAACGAAAAGGCAGTATGTCTCACCATGCGAATTTGTCTCCCTCTCTCTCTCTATTTCTCAAAATGTATTATTTACTATTTTTTTTATATATAATCCGTAATTCACTATTCTAAATATCTAATTAAATGTAACTCTTTGATTTTATTCCTTCATTATTTATATCGAAATGAAAACTTCGTTCCAGAAGAGGAGCCCCTGACCGCACGCTTTTTTATTTCATGTTGAGGGGCTCAAAACTTCAGACCTCTACGCCGGCTGAGCGAGGATCGGGGGTCGTCGACGACCGTCGTCGTCGATGCGATGACAACGTCCGGAACAGACGACTTAACGTGCTCTGCGAGTTACACAGCGCGAGGTTTAATTGAACTCGAGTTAAAAACTCCCGTGAAAGGGATCGAACCTGGCACCTTCCAGTCTGAAGCCGATGCTCTTAACCACTGAGCCACCGCCACGTAAAAAATTAGAAAGAATTAAATTCTAGAATTATGACGCTGAAATAAATGAAGCTTTTCTCGTTTATTGCAGAAAGTTTTAGAAACAATAAATTGTATAATCGTTTATTTTCGTATCTAAATAAACACAGATTGTACGCCATCAATAACCTATGCGCTGCGTGCGCAACATCAGTATCGTGCAGCATTCGTATTTTGTCGGCTCTGGCAGGTTTGTTATTGTCATGAATCGCGAAAACTAATAGGACTTTAATTGCATTTAGATATATGTTAACTGATTTAAATGTCCAACTACCAACACTAGATGTGATTCCTTGGAATAAGATGGATAAGGGATGTTATAGTCGACAAGTTCAAAATCGTGTTAATTCTTTATAAAGGTCCTAAAAATATGTGAGATAGCTCATTGGATTCGGAATAACGTCTTAAAAAATGTATCCAAAGGATTTATTGCACGATAAAAATTGCAAAAGCTATTAACAAATTAAAATAAAAAAAAGGTATTTCGTTTTTTTTGCAATCACTCAAAACCTATTAACACTTAAGTAATTTAAAAAAGGGATTCATAAAGAGGAGAAAAGTTGCTAAAAAAGTCTAGACTCCTGAAACTCTGCCTCTATTGTTTATAATTTTAATTTAGTGCTGAAAAATAGGGCCCCGCGCGGCCGGTACAGAATGGCCGCGCTACAGCTCAACAGAGTCTATCACATGAAATATTTTTTTTATAGGATTTAATATAAATAAAAAAATTAAAAAAAATTATGGTGTTACCATGATACTTCAAAAGATAAAGTCCCACTGGAAAAAAAATTTTTTGTTGATTTTTCCAAAATACACAATTGTTAACTATGTAATTTTTTGTGGACTTTCATATTTACAAAAGATGGTATAAAAGTTTAAATAATTGGCCTATAAATTTTAGGTTCTTGGAGCTTTTTACATATGTATACGTAACAAGACCACGTTATAAAAGTATCTTAAATTTGTGTATTTTGTTTATTATAACTTTTTAAATTTAAAAAAAAATGCAAGTCCTCAAAAATGTTGTTAAAAACTTTTTTTAATCAAATAATGAGTTATGTTTATTTTTGCATTTTATATAGGTATTAACCAACGTTGAAAAAAATTATTTTTGCTATTTGTTAATAAATTTTTTATGTACAAATAGACTAGCTTAATATTTTGAAAAACTTTTTTTACTATATTGTTGTCATGAAAAAATTATGATTTAAAATAAAAAATTCTTCAAAAATTTTTTATTGTTTGACACCGTTTTTTAAATATTTTTATTGTTTAAATAATTAGTGAGGAAATAATTTCTTATTTAGAAGTCATAATTGCTATTTCTCGGTAGAGTATTTATTTTTTTTATAAATATTTCAATTATTTGTTAAGTTGACAATTTGTTATAAACAAATTCAGATGACCATTATATATTTTTTTTTAAACTAAAAAATATTTAAGAACAACAATAGGTAACAAAAGGTAAAAAAAAAACCTTTTTGTATTTTTTACTAATAATACAAAAAAAATAATTTTAGTCACTTGGAATGCATTTTCCTAGACGTCATTCCGAATCCAATGAGCTATCTTCCATATTTTTAGGACTTTTATCAAGAATTAACTCGATTTTGACCTTGTCGACTAGACTATTAGATTAATGATATAGTCTTTAGATAAAAATGAGAACAAAGACAATAACCACCTTTTGGTACAATGACTAGAAATACCAATTTCGAAACAAATATCTTTTGAAGCGAAACTTCTTTATCGGCGTAGTGGAGCAATAGGTAAGTACGGTATTAAAAAAATAAACGTCACGTTTTTGTTACAATATTTTCTTACAACATTTTGCCTCCACAGTTGCATCTTTTTAAATAAATCGTTGTATTAAATTAAAACTTTGCACACTTATCGAATGATCGATGATAATATGTATATTTGGATTGATCTGACGATGGAGCTAAAAAACACTCCATAATAGAACAATGCTGTGTGGGCTTATTGAGTTTTTACCCGCACTGAGACAAAAATAAAATCAATCCCAATGCGATTAATAATTTATTTTCATTTATAAAGAATAAAATTCAATGCTATAATTTATAAATATATAGATATTTTCGAATATACTATTACATGTTGGTGACGTATTTACTCATACAGAAATCGCCCAACACGTGTAAAGAAGTTGTCGTATATACTGCATTAGAATGCCGGTGTTACGGTATCGTGGTGATGCGGAGCTGCGAGCTCATAAGTTTTACTCATACAGAAATCATCCGACGCGCATAAAGAAGTTTTCACATATACTGCATTAGGATATCGGTGACACGGTGTCGTGGTGACGCGGAGCTGCGAGCTCATAAGTTTTACTCATACAGAAATCACCCGACGCGCATAAAGAAGTTTTCACATATACTGCATTAGGATATCGGTGACACGGTGTCGTGGTGACGCGGAGCTGCGAGCTCATAAGTTTTACTCATACAGAAATCATCCGACGCGCATAAAGAAGTTTTCACATATACTGCATTAGGATATCGGTGACACGGTGTCGTGGTGACGCGGAGCTGCGAGCTCATAAGTTTTACTCATACAGAAATCATCCGACGCGCATAAAGAAGTTTTCACATATACTGCATTAGGATATCGGTGACATGGTGTCGTAGTGAGGGGGAGTCGCCAGCTCATAAGTTTTACTTATACAGAAATCACCCGACGCGCATAAAGAAGTTTTCACATATACTGCATTAGGATATCGGTGACACAGTGTCGTGGTGACGCGGAGCTGCGAGCTCATAAGTTTTACTCATACAGAAATCACCCGACGCGCATAAAGAAGTTTTCACATATACTGCATTAGGATATCGGTGACACGGTGTCGTAGTGAGGGGGAGTCGCCAGCTCATAAGTTTTACTTATACAGAAATCACCCGACGCGCATAAAGAAGTTTTCACATATACTGCATTAGGATATCGGTGACACAGTGTCGTGGTGACGCGGAGCTGCGAGCTCATAAGTTTTACTCATACAGAAATCACCCGACGCGCAAAGAAGTTTCACATATACTGCATTAGGATATCGGTGACACGGTGTCGTAGTGAGGGAGTCGCCAGCTCATAAGTTTTACTTATACAGAAATCACCCGACGCGCATAAAGTTTTCACATGTACTGCATTAGGATGTCGCTGACACGGTGTCGTAGTGAGGGGGAGTCGCCAGCTCATAAGTTTTACTCATACAGAAATCACCCGACGCGCATAAAGAAGTTTTCACATATACTGCATTAGGATATCGGTGACACAGTGTCGTGGTGACGCGGAGCTGCGAGCTCATAAGTTTTACTCATACAGAAATCACCCGACGCGCATAAAGAAGTTTTCACATATACTGCATTAGGATATCGGTGACACGGTGTCGTAGTGAGGGGGAGTTGCCAGCTCATAAGTTTTACTTATACAGAAATCATCCGACGCGCATAAAGAAGTTTTCACATATACTGCATTAGGATGTCGCTGACACGGTGTCGTAGTAAGGGGGAGTCGCCAGCTCATAAGTTTTACTCATACAGAAATCACCCGACGCGCATAAAGAAGTTTTCACATATACTGCATTAGGATGTCGCTGACACGGTGTCGTAGTGAGGGGGAGTCGCCAGCTCATAAGTTTTACTCATACAGAAATCACTCGACGCGCATAAAGAAGTTTTCACATATACTGCATTAGGATATCGGTGAGTGTCGTAGTGAGGGGGAGTCGCCAGCTCATAAGTTTTACTTATACAGAAATCATCCGACGCGCATAAAGAAGTTTTCACATATACTGCATTAGGATGTCGGTGACACGGTGTCGTAGTGAGGGGGAGTCGCCAGCTCATAAGTTTTACTTATACAGAAATCATCCGACGCGCATAAAGAAGTTTTCACATATACTGCATTAGGATGTCGCTGACACGGTGTCGTAGTAAGGGGGAGTCGCCAGCTCATAAGTTTTACTCATACAGAAATCACCCGACGCGCATAAAGAAGTTTTCACATATACTGCATTAGGATGTCGGTGACATGGTGTCGTGGTAACGCGGTGTCGCCTAACGTGCCTATATATATTTTTATTTTAAAAATATTGATATTGTAACGAGATCATTTACGTTCACAAATATTTCTAAAAGCTTTCCGATGTTAGTGTAAATGGGACGTTTTGTGTTTGAACGAATTGTCAAGTCGTGTCGGGGCCACAACAAAAGAAGTTGACATGTACAGATATCAATGAAATTTCATAATGTTATCTACTGACCTAACGGCACGATTTTGTTGCAGTGCCGCTGGTACAATGAGGACTTTGGGATCAAGATAGAACCGTGATGTCGTACTTGTAATATAAATTTTATATTCTCTTATTTTTATTTCCAATTAATTTATTAATATTATTCAAATATATTGTTAAATTATATTTCTTTTGTGATGTTTATTGATACAATAATTTTCAATTTTTTTTTGTCACTTCATTACTTTAATCTTTATATATATATGGTGCGATATTAAATTTTAAATTTATTTTATTAATAAACATTGTCATATTTAATAATTTGACAATTTAATTCTATAAATAAAGAGGTCCTCGTGGATAAATCTACTGAATGTATATTTCTTAAAAATATACCACTTATTTTCTAACGCTAGCTCACTATCGACTTAAAGTGACCAATTTAACTTTTATTATAGGCCGAGAGCGTAAAGTCTTACAAAATGTCATATAAAATTGTAAATTTCACATTTTCAGCTTCTAGTAAAAGTTAGTTTGATGACATTAACTCGATGGTGAATTCACGGTATTGAAGGAACGAGGATAATTTTAAGAAATATATATTTGATCATCATATCGTAGACATTACATTAAAAAACTATACATATCAACTTTTCCTCGTTAGCGGTTTGAACCCGACTTTCTGACAACCCGTTCAAACGAGGAAAATTCTATTATCAGATTTATTTTCATAGA